GACTGGTCACTGGGACTGGTGATGACGTAGCTGTGGGTTTGAACGTGGGTCGTCTGGACGCCATCTTGAACTGGTACGGATGCTAGGACTTTGATTTGTGTACTTGCAGATACTGGTGCTTCTTCAGGTTGGCTTTTAAAAAATACTGTATGTAATGAGCGGAAAGGAAATTATGGGATATCACTTGGTGGCGCTGTGGTCACATTTGTCATCATAGCGAAACATGCGGAACAGGACACTTGGTGGCGCTGTGGTCACATTTGTCAAAATATCAAAAAATCGAAGGGTGAAAAGTTAATTATATATAAGTAATAAATCCAACTGGAACAGAAAGTGAGCAGAGCATTTACACTGAGACTGATTTTAATTTGAAACTCCACCTCCTGCTGAGTGAACAAAGTGTCGCGTTAACTGTGGAAAACTAATTCCATATTACAATAAACCTAAAAAACATGATGTTCCTCAGTCATCTGTCCACTGCTGACATGGTTGACCAACTTAATTCAACAGTGAACGCAACACTGAACAACCTGTGGTGCATGGTTTATGGACCAGAATGTTGGTGGAGCTGCTGCCCAGCTCGAGGTTCCACCTGATGGCTGCCCTCGGTGCTGCACCTCATGCTCAGCTGCGTCTGTTGAATAAATTCAATTTTTTAAATTATTTTTATGTGATTGAAAAAAATGTCCTCATCCTTTACTGGAGACTTTTGATCTATTTGTTCTTTTGATTCTTCACTTTAAATTGAATAAATTAAATTTTTAAAATTCACTTTTTATGTGATTGAAAATGATTTGTTCTTTTGATTCTTCACTTTAAAGCCCGCAGCTCTGATACAAACAGTGGAGTCATCAGTGAGGCTGAACTGTCCGTGGTGCTGATTTTACATTTCTGAACTTCACCAGTGAGGTTGAAACTGTTGATTAGGAAGTAGACCATAATGTTGATGGTTGTGGGTTTGGGCGTGGGTCACACACACATGTGGGTCACACACACACACATGTGGGTCACACACACATGTGGGTCACATGATTCCCAGGCATGTTTTTCCTTTTACTCTAAATGCTGGTTGATGGTACGAGAACGACGCTGTGTTGAGCCTTTTTTTTTTTTTTTAACACTTGTTCGACACCAGATTCAACACCGTGACACGGCTGCCTTTAAGATGACTCCTCTGATTCCCATCTTTACCATCAGCCAGGCTTGACATTCAGGATGCCAGCGAGAAAATTGTCTTGAAACACATCAAAAAGACAAACTATAATTCTTCACAAAGGAAGATAAAAAAAAAAAAATCCAATTTATTTGGCTCGGTGTTAGACACAGATACAGGAATTCATAAAGTCAATAAAAGAAAAGTGTGATGAAGAGAAAGAATCAAACTTACTTTTTATTTTTTTTATTTAACACATAAACAAACACTCAAAGTTGTCAACTTTCCACTCATCCATTAGAGGATAAATTAAATGAAAACACAAGCAGTAACCACGACGTTTATACAGTAATAAAGCCAGTGTGGATCACTGCATCGTACATTTGTACATTTAATTTGTTGTTGTTTTCCAGGACTCTCAAGGTCAGCATATAATTATAGAGGTTTGGTGTGACATGGAGAGAGAGAGAGAGAGAGAGAGCTATAGTTCTTACCATCACTGTCGATGTTCTTCAGTTTCTGCCATAATGTAGTAAACGTTTATATCTGATGACATTGGGTGTCCGGCTTCAACGTCGTGGCTCAGTGGGAGGTTTTTGCCTCTGAAGAATCTTGAATATTAGTCTTCAAAAAAAGGAGTTTCACCTTCGACATTTCTTCAACTCTCGAGGCATGGGAGAGGGATTTGGGTCTCCCCTAATCCGTGTTCTCCAAAGCCCATCTCAACCCTGAGCCAGCACTTTGATGAAAGAAAGCGGGCGCTTTCAAGGCAGAGGCGGTAAGCGGGCAAACTCGCGCTATGTCATTGTTGCTTTGACTTCAAAAGCTGCCAGCTCACCACGCTCTCCCCTGAAATCCCCTCCGAAAAAACTTGACAACACTAGAATGCCATCAAACACTCGGGGGCCGCCTTTGAAATGCCACTGACACTGTTTGGCGATGCAATTTGCAGACTCTTAAAAGTGGATGCCTGTATTATTGAAATAAATCCCAGGCTTGTAATGGGAAAGGAAATGAACACATTTTTCATGCTTTGCCTCAGAATTGAGAATTGAATATTGAGATGGAGTGTTGTTTCCCTGGAGAGAAGGCTGTTGACTCTGGAGCTCTCCCTCCAGATTCCTCGTAAGCTTCGCCTCTCGGGTTGTTTTCTCCCTTTTTTTTTTTCCAATTTTCCATTGTGACTACCGTAGTTTGTCCCTCACTTACGTCTCCCCTCCCCCCGATGGTGGGAAAAGGGACGACGATGTCCTGAGGGAAGATTTGAAAACGTCTGAAAACGTGATATTCATTAAAGTCCAGGATCAAGTACTTAATGAGTACTTTGATAGATATTGGCGTATTGATTTTTCAGTTCTACCCGCTGGATTCTCATTCCCGTTACATTCTGGAATGTTGTGAGATGGACACGTACAGATTGATGAGCCGTTTGTCCGACACAAAGACGTTGTTTCTCTGGGGAAAAATGGCGGGAACAACGGAGCGTCCAGCAGAACTGTAACTGACCTAGTAACGTTCAATGCCAATTATAATGTGTGGCAAGATTCCTGGTGTAGTTAAACTGAGGAACTAATTAACCAACCACTGGGTAAAAAGCCCTCATTAGTCCGATTTATTATCCGTACATTTGGCCTGATTTTCTTTTAAAGCGATTTTGAGTCCAAAGATTTAAAAGTTTAAAAGAAAAGATCTCAGTTTGAAAAATACCTGATGATTTACTTGTTTTTTTTCACTGTGATTCTAAAAGGGAACTCATTATCTCATGATTATTATTTTTTATTATCAGCTCTTCTAGTTTGAGTGTTTTATTGGAGAAACTTTTGTTTTTATTCACAGTGGTCTCTAATGGTCCTCGGCTCAGCGTAGGGGAGATCATCAGGTTAAAAAAAAACAAAAAAAAAAACAAAGAACGAACAGATCTGTACAAATATGTTGTCGTCGAATGCACTCATACAGTTTTAATAACCTCAGTAAAGCCACTCAATTTCATGCTGCAAATAATTTCAGCAAAACAAAGCAAATATAGTAAGTAGTTATCTGGCTACGTGACGTCAAAAAACGTTTAGTATTTAAATGTCTGGCCTCCAGAGAGCGCTGCAGAGGAGAAACTGATCGCTGCCTAAAATAACAGCAGAACAAACGACATCACAAGGACAAGACCTCTGTTCGCCGTAGTTAATATTTCATATTACGACTGTAAGAAAATAGAGATACACTGAAAATTACGTTATTTTTCTTTTACGATACTGTATCCATATCCTACATCACTGTATCAGGTTTTTTTTTCTCACCAACTCCCAGTCCAATATTCCTGGTGTTGGTTCATTTTCTTTTTCTTTTCTTTCTTCTCTAGTGATTCCAAATGTAGATCCCTCTGTTCCAGTGTCAGTAACCTGATGTTCAGACGGAACACACCGCGTCGTCGCCTCGTGTTGTGATACGTATCATGTCGCCAACAACTTCCTGTTTCAGTTTATATAGAGTTTCACTTGAAGTGTTTTAAATGTGGAGCAGCCGCAGCAGGAGAGGGAATGTTTGGCCGGTTTCCGTAGTAGTTTAATTACGGCTGCGTTGTTCCGTTACATAAAAGAAAACAAACCTAAAATGAGACGGATGATGTCGTCCGTACCAGAGAGTCTGCGGACGTAATTCTCCACTAATAACTGCAGCCACGGTGAAGAAGGTAAATCACACCACCAGAATGAACTCGTTTATCTTCATCTCAGACTTTTACTGTGAATACAGTCTGGGGAGAGTGCGTTTCCACGCTCATAGACCGTGTATAAAACATGGACACGTTTAGAAACTGCCCAGAAATCAGGTTCCTGGTACTGGACGATCTCTGGTACCGGGTGATCTCTGGTACTGGGTGATCTCTGGTACTGGGTGATCTCTGGTACTGCCGCTGTTTGTCAGTTTGACTCAAAGTCTTCAAAATTTGCAAATGTATGTAGTTCCTGTACAATCTACACACCGAGTGGTCAAGGGTTTAATTGCAACAGGAAAATTAAACAAAGCCCTAAATGTTTGCAATTTGCTTCAATTGAAAGATTCAGTGCTGTAGTACATTGTTTCCCAAAGACTGGGTCGCGACCCTCAGGCGGGCCGCAAGAGTTTTTTTTTTTTCGTTTTTTGAGTTTATGAGTAATGTCTGTTGAATTGGGTCACAAAGGTTTCTGACTGAAAAAAAAAAGTTTGGAAAAGTCTGCTGTAGAATAGTAATGAATTAGGTATTGTGAACCAAAATATTGCGATACTCTATCGATATTGTCTTACTGATTTTTAACACCTGGGTTTAAATCTGCCGTGGGAATCTCACACCCCTGATGACTTCCTGTTGTACCTGCCAACATGAACAGTGTCAGGACAAGTGGAGTCAAAGAGGAGCAGCGGGGGAGGACGCGGGGATCATGGCGTGACACCAGAGTCCTGGAAGAGTTCTGCGAGGTGACGCGCCCGGGTTTAAAGGCTACGATCGTGCAGACTGACATGCTAATGTGCACCGCGCTCCTCTCAAGGTCATAAATATTGCAGCAGGTACATATACAAAAACACCGACTTCAGTTGTTCCCTCACTGAAAGCACTCTTCAGAACATTGTATTCCTCTTTCCTCCGAGTGCGTCTGTCTTCGGGGCATCTGTTTATGTCGGAGAATAAAACTTGTTTTCGTGGATTGTTTTTCAAAGAGGTCTTTTATTTTTTACAGCGTACACCTCTGTAACGCAGCTGCAGCGCGCTCGTATTGTTTTTGTTTTTCTTCTCCTTCTCGCTCTCTCTTGACACGTCTGAGCTCTGTAATTCAGTCAGAACACTGCCAACCACTCCTTTATGTTTCTTCTTCCACAGTGGAGTTTGACGACTGTGCGGGGAACGACGGTGTGACGTTCCAGGTGTCGGATCCTGGCTTTGAGGTGGATGGAGACTTGAAGCTGGTTCCACTTCAGAACGTCCCGTACAGTCCGCCGGTCCTCTTCATCCACGGGACAAGTCCACACGCGGATGACGTAGCACAGCTGGACGTCACTGGGCTGCCAGAGTCTCAGCACACACTCAGAGTGAGTAGAGAAACGCCACCCTGTGGTGCCACAGCTGTCTGATCTGCCAATCAGGGTTGAATCAGGGTTCAAAAATAAATAAATACTGGAAAAATAAATGTTAAATGAAAAAAATAAAATAATAAAATATGCTCAAAATGACCCTAATGCCAACATTAAAATACTATACGCATCTAGTCACAGGCCAAATTTTATTTTTTTCTGGACCAGAAGTGGACCCCGGGC